TAATTAACTTTACTCTAGCGCCTATCTTTTTAACTGCTCAAATTGTGCAAAGTTTGGCCGCGAATGATTCAGCACCCACGCAGTTCGTGTGGTGGCTGGACTCTTGGATTGAGCAGCGCATCAGGAAATTCATACCATGTGCATGAGGCCGACAGCTAACACAAACGAAAGAGGAGCGGCGCTTCACGTTTCATTTCCTCCCAAAACGTATCCTTTTGCAGGGGTAGGTTTCACCGAACCTCTTGCTCTGCTCATGGCCTGGTCGACGGATGCGAGCAAGGACGCCTCGTCCTCCTTGAAGGCTTCCAGCCTTTTGTCACAAAACATCTCTGTTGAGAGCAAGAAGGCGTATGACTGATTCACATGAACCTGCTTGCATGGAACTGGTCAAAAAGTTACAAACGGGCTCATAACACCTGCATCGCAACAACCCTGCGCGGTTTCTAGCGCTGAGATGCCAACTGCTGTTTCCGGATTGCATCAGCTTTTTCCATTGTCTGCCATAAGGCCACGCACGTTCTGTGAAAGTAAACTCATGAGCAGGACCGCCGTGCTGCGGCCGCAAAACCCTAGCAGAAATTATGCCAGCAAGTCTGCTTTGGCTTTGTTGAGCTCGATGTTGGAGGTGCGGATCTGCGTTCCCAGCCGATCGATCTTGGGTCCCAGCTCCTACATTCCATTGAAAAAGCATTTAGATGGCTGAAGGCGGTCAGCCCAAACTCCTCGACAAGTGCGTTCAAGCTTGTTAGCTTCTCCCTGAGCGAGGTACAGTCTGGAGCGGTGAAATGGGGAAATTGCAATGTTTGAACTGAAAATCATGCTCAGGAGTTGTCTGAGCAGCTGCGACAGAAGCACTCTTGTCGTCATTGTTCTGCTTACACCAGCACTCCTGAGATGAAAGCAGCTCACACGCTTCTTATTGCTTAGTCTCATGTGCTTCGGCAGGGCTCATTGAATACTTTCAGGGCCGGAGCTGGGTAACGGGCGAACTTCTGTTTCTGTTCCTCGTCTGCCGTTTGCTCCTCCTCTAACTTCTGCGTCATCGTCTGGCTGGAGCTCTGATGGAACAAATCCCAGCACGAGTGCAGGACCTCAAACGGCCTGCCTCTAGGAGCGTGACAACCTTAGTGACTGGCTTGACGCCATCCGTCTCATCCAGCTGAAGTGCAGACTGGTCTGCGTGGCCTGAGCTTCCCGTCACTTCCAGTCGCTCTGCTCCGCATGATCTGACTGCTGTCCAGCAGCTCAGAGGCCACGTCACCACTGTCAGGAAAAAACCGAGGAAAAGCATTGCGGACGCTCAACCTGCCCCGCCCCTGTCCCGCCCATGTCAATTAGCTGGCTTCTGTCTGTTACAAAGCCGCCTGCGCGCCGACAACTTCAATGCAGCTGAATGACACCTGCAGCTGACATGATACCAATTCTCCGTTGACAACGCCAGCCAGCATTGAGGCTAAGCACCCACTCAAGAGAGGGAGGGTGCCCGGCTGAGCCAAAACACATCAGGGAGCTTGTCTGCAGGAACAACGTAATCCCAGCTCCTGATGCATGATCCCCCCAAATTCAAAGATTTGAATCTTATTAAGCACACTTTAACAGGTGCTGTTGCAGCCCCAGACCCCTTGAGCAACAGAAAATGTGTTTCTAATCCCTTATGTGATGGTCTTGCTCTATCCGGAGCTCAGATCAAAGGAGAATTTGGGGAGGCTCAGTTACTTGTCTGCTCTTAAAATGGGGAGAGCGGATTCTGAAAGCTGATCTGTCTGCAGAGGTTGATAGGGAACCTACGGCTCAAACATTGCATCCTGAGATATCCCTCGTGGTTCTTGCCTGAAAGGATCTCTCTTACTCCTACAGGAGATAAACTCCTGTAGAGTCACTAGGTTCAGCAGTTTCCATAAGGGCCCGATGGCAGGGCTGCTCGCGAAGTCCGAGGGCGCCCTGCTTAATCAGGCCTAAGGCCTAAGGAGTAGCCATGCAAGGGCGCACTGCAAGCTGCGTATGTTTACTGCAAATGTTGCATCGGTTGGGCAGCCAGAACGCAAGAAAATGGCCTGACTGCGCAGTTGCACTATGCTCATCTGAGCTGCTGCATTGCAAAACTTGGAACCTGTACATGAGCTTCGACACAAATGTGCCGTTGAAAGATTGTACGTGCCTTGATCAAAGCCTCCTTAGGAGGCACTGTGATTCACACGCCAGATCTCAAAAACACAGTGTTCGAATCTTAGCCAAAAGTTTCTCTCGCTCTTCAGCTTCCATCGGAACCTCCCAAATATCAATGAAAGCCAGCGCAGCTGCACCTAGAAACTCGTTTGAGAATCTGTGTGCGATGCCGCATGCGTGATGGTCTCGCGAGCTTCCGACGAATTTCCGAGCAACCTTGCATCTTGCCAAGAAGACAACGCATCTCACACCACCTTCTGGGGTCAGGACCTCAAAGCACTTACTGCCCATGCTCTCGTCCTTGCTTTGCCATCCTCACGGGCCACAAGCTGAGGCACGCCCTTTGCTGTTTCTCAAGTTCCTTCACCAGTGCGACCAGAGCCGGCAAAGGCTCCGCCAATCGAAGTGGCATCTGCCGGGCAAAGTCCAAACCAGACATGATGTCCGTCTTCCCTTGCTTTTAGACTGGCTTGCTCCTTTACTCGAGCATACACGCCATGAAAATTCAGGCGAGCAGTATTGTCTGAAGGATGCACTAGCAAAAGGAAGGCTGCTACTTGTTCATCCACGGATTGCTGCTCATCATCAGCCAGGATGCGACTGGCTCCTACCATCTGCATGATGGAAGATATGCCTTCCAGTTAGGTTCCACTTACTTTCTGGCCAGTTCTTCGCAGGTGAGCCTGAAATGCGAAAGATAGTTTAGTTTAGTGTAATGATCGACCCGCAATGTGAAGAATGTGTATCGTCTTCGGCTGCTGAGGGAGATGCAACACCTCCAACAAGTTCTCATGAACAGCCGCGATACTCCTCGGGTTCTGAAACCAGTCTTTGGCGTGGCAACCCGAGTCGGACGTTGGAGTTCAGACCTGTTGAGTGAAGTGAAGCCCTTTAGATGACTGCAGGGCACAGCTTTGCGGAGGCATGAGGAGATAGTAACGCCTCATGGGTTCAACCTTGGCGGCGCTTGGACTGAAAGCGTGCTCAGCCTGAAACCTCTGCAGATCTTGAAGGAGACTGTATTAAAGCTGGAAGACATTGAGGCGTTCTTCCCTGTGTTTAGGTCCGGAGCCCCCGGCAGGGAAAGTTGATCCAGCATGATCCAGCTAATCCACATAATCTTAGTAGGTCCCAATGCGCGCTGCTGTCAAACGGCAAACCCTCCTAGGCTTCAAAAAAAAAACAGTGCAGCCCTGTGTACTGTCTGCAAAGCAAAACTGCATCAAGCAACGTCACGAGAATGGCAAGAGTATGCAAGAGTTGTTTGATCGATTGATGGCAAAGTGACAGAGTAACAAAAAAAGCAGAAGCAATTGCACTATTTGCAAAATCGCAAGACTGCTAGAAGTATGTCTGGACACTCAGAGACAATTTTGGGGTTTGGCTTGCGTGTCGGGTATTAGTATAGAATCATCCTTAGGGGCGAGTGAAAGAACGACATCACATTTATGATCGATTGCACGTTCAGTTCACCACACAGGCTGCCATCAACATGCACTTGCGTCTGGGAAACCTCCATGTCACCGCGCGCTGCGAGTTGGAAGATCGTCTGGGCTGCGGCACAGCGGACCTCTTCTTGCCCGCCTCTCATAGCAGGTGGGCCGAATGTCCAACATCGCTACCTATGAGATGCGTGCCTTGTAGAAGCTGCACTATCCGAGAAATTTCGCCTGACTGCTCACCACGCCTTTTAAGGTGCTTTGGTTCTAAAAGATTGAATTGCACCCAAGTGGCTGGACAGAGTCTCTTCCACCAGCTCTGTGCCTACATCTGCCTGACCACGATCGAGCCAGTTTGCCTGTACTGGTTTCTTGCAAAGTTTTCGCGACCTCGGCCTCTTCACCTGGTGGAGCAGTATCCACCGTCACCATGGCCGCCAGGGCCTAGAACTTCTTGCATCTTTATGACTTGACAGGGCAGTTCAGTCGACTTATATCTGAGAGCAGGGCTGTTAGGGCCTAAGTTCTTGTAAGGTGTTAGCATGCGCTGGCAATGACACCTTTTTCACACGCTTGCCTGCTCCATGCTGCAGGTGGCACTTGCCACAAGATCCTTGAGAACGGACAATGCACCGGCCTCTCATGCACTGCACTGCTGCTGTCATTTGCAATGACAAATACTCCGCCTTCATCAGTCGGACCCTCAAGTCATTCTGGCCTCAGGGAAAGGCGCTTCAAGAGCTGCAGATAGTGAGGGAGCTTAGCTTCAGGCAGCACATCAACGCCACGACAGCAGCTGCCTACAGCACGGAATGTACAATGTTCAACGGAGGTAGAAAGATTCGCAAACCATTCTGCAAACCTGCTCTACCCCCTCCGGGTCAGTCAACTGGGATACAACACCCGACCTGAAGGAGCAGTCGTTGGAAACACTTTTTAGTACAAGCTCTGGCCCAGGGTCGGGGCACGACAGTCTCCGAGCCGACTGCTCCGCGGACTCGGGGCAACCGCTCCTCTCCAAAGCAAGAACATGCAGAAATTATCCCAAGGCTGCTGTGTGATGCTTGGCCTCTAAGGAGTCACCCTCCAGAAGGGCACCAAGCAGGCGGCAGAACCTGTGAAGCCGCCCAGTGAAAATGTCGGATAAACTCTGGCAAGCAAAGCAAGCTTTTAACATTAAGGCCTTTGTCTGTCCCCGGACTCTTCCTCTGACAGTGACCGCTCGATCCTTCAGGCTGTAGGAACTCACATCAAAGGTCAGGGTGACCCGGGTGTAGCAGAGTGCGTGCAGGTGGCACTGCCAGGATGCCAGACTCGAACATCATGGTGCGGGACCTTGGCGGAGGGTCCTTTGAGTTTTTGGCATGGATCGTTCAACGCTTTGCACCGGACCCTTTTGCCAGTGCAAGCGCCGTCAAAGCATCAGTAGCAGCTTCTTGGGCCTCTGGAATTCCTGGATTGACATTGTGAAGAATCATGAAGAATCCGAGCTCAGTGGCTTCCAACACTCTTGCACATCAGCACCACGCAAACGATTTCAGCAAGGCAAGCTCAAAGATCAGAATCGTGGAATCGTGGCGCGGAGTTGGGGCAGAGCGGAGCCAATCAAGGCGAGGCGTCCCGTTTGCTCTCAGTCGGACCGTGAGTCGAAGTCGGATCAAAGAGAAATCTGTTGGCTCGGCCGGCAACTGAATTCGATCGCCGAAAGGCCTTCTACCCTGTATTCTACCAGGTGCCGGGCTTCCCTCACTGGCCATTTGCCAAAGCGGAAGTCTTCCTGTGCAGGCCTTCGACATCCCAGTTCAAGTGAGAGACTTGAACCGTTTCTGCTGTATGTGAGCGCTTCATATGTGCTGGATTGCCCACGCCCAAACACAAGACGACCAGGGCATTGATGGAACGTTTTCCTTCCCCTAGTCTGCATGCATCAACGAATGGAGGTTGGACTGACAATGAATGATCGCACCTTTCGACGAGCTTCGTACTGCTCTTCACTCCGGTGTGCATGCCCCTTCTTATGATGGCATCCAGGCAAATGCTGGGTGGAGTCAAAATAGTTCACCAAGTGCTCGCTACATGCACCTGCAAAAGACTGCGCGCTGGCCTCCTAAGCCTTCTCTCCGGCAAAAGCTTCTTAGCTGAACAGAAAACGGTTGATCTAGTTAGGGTGCCATCCAAAATTCGATCATCCCAAGCGGAAAAACCAGATTCCTTTCGCAAACACCATGGCAAACTTTCACGCAAGCATATTTGAAGTAGAAACCAATCATCGAATGCAGAAGCTATGTGGTCTTGCATGGCTTGCAAGGCTAGGGGCGTGCTCAGCTTACGCGAACGTTCGCAGCTCTTTCGCAATTTTCCGGGTAAGAATTCTGAGACTGAACACATGATTCACAAGCATTTTGCTTGTTGAGGGATACCTTCATCAGAATACTGGCAGGGAAATGCATTTGACCGCGTGTGACAAAGCACAGCTTACGATGCGAAATCCCTGATTCGTTTCGCGAACACCATCTTGAACTTTCGAGGAAAGCCTTTTAAGCCAGGCCATGGTCGTTATATATAAACACTTCCACACGGAGTTTTCCTGAATTTGGACAACCTCCAAGTGGATGCCGATGTCCAGTATCCAGTATATCGCGACCCGGTTCGCGACGCCCAGGGGCAAAGGATACTGGCCGAGAACCCGTACGTTAGTTCCTGACTCGGCCACGTCCCGCTCTGCAGACTTGCATGGTGGCGGGGTCCTCCGAGAAGTCTGATAAGCTGCGGTATAGCGGCAGCATTGATGATCACAACACGACACCTGCCATAGCAATGCGCTTCTCACGCGTTCGGAAGGACTGATACAGAGGCTCCTGCGGCGGGGAAGTGGCCAAACGGGCCAAGGTGTTGGCCAATCGAATCTTCTCAAAAGGAAGTACCTTAACATGCTGCACAAACCTTCAGGTCTCAAGCTGTCTCAGTCCAGCAGAGCCTGATCGCCGGGTCGGACCTATACAGAATAAGGTGAGTCACAGTACCAACTGCTGCACCATCTGTAGTACCTTCCTAGGCCCTGACTAGCAGGCCGACGAGAATCTTTGCACCGCCCGAAGCGATGATACTGGATCGACCCTAGCACATCAGACGCACCGCGCTGGCTGCCCTGCGAACGGAGAATCACGGCACGCAATGGGGCATAGGGCCTCTGCAGTCTGTGCAAGCGCTTCCAGGGATCTGATGGCTTGAACCTTCGCAAGACTTGCAACTGCAATGCTGAAACTTCAGAAACAAACACCGTTTGAAATTCTGGGTTGTCAGCTCTGCGGTCAGGGTCGCACTGGTGGCTACCAAGCTGGTGCAAGGCTCGTGACACAGCCTTGGAAAGGCGTACAAAAGGGAACGTGTACTGGCTTTCCCTCAGCCTGCTCCCTAGCTCGCTCAGTAAGGGCATGGCATCACCTTTGGATGCCAAAGCTTTTGCACTTCTTTCCATGTCCCGCACATATGTCGGAGTTGTCGGGAATGGCCGTCAACATGCGTTTAGGTTCTGGTGCCGAGTTTTGGAATCCATGTCATAGGGTACATGATCTGAAGCTCACGGCAGCCACGGCAAATCAGCTGCTCCCATCGGATTGGCCTCTTCCAACGACATGTCTTGGCAAAGTATGGTCACCAAACACTTCTCGATGCACAGTCGGCAGTGGAGGCAAAGCTTGCTTTAATGACAACGCGCTTGCCCCGCATGCAAATGCAGACTACCTGCCCAAGGCTTGCTAATCAAAGCCGTGGCGCAAAAGGTTAAAAGAGAGTGAAACGGAAACTTTCGAGGGTTGTCAGCTCTGCATGGAGCTGTTCTGTTCAGCTTGGCAGCTCCTGCGAATGACGACGGTGATGCATGATTGGCCAGACAGCTTTGCATGAGGGCAGTGAACTGACCCCTTCCCTCCATCTTGGCTCCGGTAAGGCGGGCTTAGGGTTCAGAAGGTCT